TGCTGCAGCTTCTCTACGTGGTGCCAGGACCAAAATGCACAAACACGCCAAGAAAGTGAGTTCCTGATCTGCACTTCCGAAACTGGAAGAGTCCCAAGGCAAAACGCCTTGATCTACTTTATACTCTCAAAAGATCCTAACTAGCACTACGCTATCCTATCTACCACTCGCAGCATCTGCGCGAAACCAAACTACTCTACTGCACTCGGCAGATCCGGTGCTGCGCCTCCTGCGCGCCGGACTGCTCCGCGTACTATCTCTACCCTGCCAGTCTTCCGACCGGCTGCGTAACCCCAGGCGTCGGAGCGCTGCAGTGACTTCCGACTGCAAGTGCGCCATAGTGTCGCGCGCACCCGACAGAAAAGTTTCTAATTTCCTTGCCACTCGCCGCCGACTCCGACTGTCACCTTCCGTCAATGCCGCCGCCCGAAGCTCGAACTCCCGGAGTGTAACCCTCTCTTGAGCTGCCACCTCCCAATGGGTGTATCCGTTTAGACAACGAGTCACCCGTGCCGCCAACTCTCCTCGTGCCCTGCAGCTGCTCTCCACCTCTGCCAGCTGCATTTCTAAATCCGCACGTTGTGCCCTCAAATCCGAGCACTCGGTTTGCAAGCTGCACAACAACTCCTCATCCTCCTTGCGGGCTCGTTGACTTTCCTCTAAGGCGCGCGTCTGGCGCGCAAGCTCGGCTGCTAGGACTTCGTTCTGTCTCCGCTCCTCCTGCAGTTCCGACTCGATCTTTGCCCGTATTAGTTCGGCCTCCGCCTGACTCTTCGTCGCCGCATCCTCCTTCTGCTGCTGCAAGGCTTGGTACAGCTTCTGGGTGACCGCCAGGTGTTGTCGGAGGGCGGTGTTCCTATCCACATATACTCCGCATCTAGAGGCCCACCTTGCCACCTTGCTCCTCGTCCTTCGCCTGATTGTCTCCACATAAGACTGCGGTTTTAAGGCACTTCCGTATTTGGATGTCTTGCGATCCAGATATCGCAGGAGTGGAACTATCTGTTCGCACAGCACCCCTGTTGGCGTTTTCTGCACTGACTCCTCTTCTTGCTCTTCCGAGCTCGTATCATCCTCAGTCGCGAGGATTTCAGTCGCCACCGAATCCCTTGGCGACTCCCTGGAACTGTGGCGCGCAGCAGCTTCTGCTGCGACTGCTGCTCCACTGCATGCTAAAATATCCAGGGCAGTGGGAGATCCCACTGCTTGAGCCCCTGTTCCGGCTCGATCTTCGGTTTGTGAAGGGGTTGACGCCGCAGTGACTTTTGTCACTCTTGCACCGCCCGCTTCTGCTGCCTGTCCTTCCGGCGCAATCTGCGCGGAAGGTATCCTTGCTGAAGGTGCGTCCGCCGAAGGCGTCCGCACACTGGTCGTTGGCCCCATCCGTCTCGCAGTCGGCGAATCCGGCTGACTCTCTGTTGTCCGACTCGCAGTCGGCCGACCAGCAGTTGTCCGACTGGGAGTCGGATACACCCTGCGCGTCTTGACTCCACTTGGCCTGCTTGTTGGGGGCGTTCTTCCAGAAGTGCCTTCCGCCGAAGACGACCCTCTGAGGATTGTTGGCTCGTCAGCCAAACTCTCTTCCGCTTCCGGCCTGCTGTCCGGTTCAACGCGCCGTTCAGTTGGCCTTCCTTCCGCTTGTCGACCTTCAGTCATCCGACTCGCAGTCGGCCGGTCGTCAGTCCGTCCATCTCCTCCCGAAGGCCGTGGTGCCTTCTGTGCAGAGGTTTCTGCCGTCTTCCCTAGGACCTGAGCAATTATCTCTTCCTGTGTGAGATTCCGCCGGGTCGGAGTTCGCCTGGTCTCCTCAGTAACAGTTGGCATTCTGCGTGCCCTCTGTTTTGGTCGACTATGAGGTTCGGGGGTGGGCCGACCACGAGTCGGCGCAGCTGGTACTTCCGGCTGCCTGTCCTCAGGTCTCTCATCCCACTTCCGCTTGCGCGGAATACGCTCACTTCGACGTTCTTCTGCTGCTCTGGCTGGAGCCGGAGCCGGAGGCGTACTGGCAGGTTCCTCGTCCGGATCCGTGTCTACTTCGGCCTCCCTCGAATATCTACCTGGATAAGACCGGCTCAGTTGCGGAAACCGAGTTTTCTCAGCATTCGTCAAACATCCCATCGCCCGGTAAAACACGATTAAGTAAGGCGATAGATGATTGAGCGTTCCTCCCCTCTCTTCTTGCGCATGTTGGCGCGTCACCTTCCACAGGAGCCGTGCCCAATGCACCGGAGCTCCTGACAACACTAGCTCCACGAACTCTACCTGCCAACCATGCATGTAAGCGGTCTTGGTCGGCTGCAATATCTGCAGCAATGCTGTCGCGACATTTCTCCGCAATCGATCCTTGTAATCCCGAGTCCGGAAACCGTTCTTGGGATGTCTAGCCACCTTGAAGAGCTCATTGTAAGAGACTTCTTCCTCTTGGGACACTTTCACGCTGTCGGCCTCGAAGAGGAGATCCCCTTCCTCGCCGGCACACCTGCCCAACACCTGCGCCCAATTGTAAATTTCCCATCTCTCTGGGTGTGGGCGAAATCCGCGAGAAGGCTTGTGTCTCTCTTGCAGGTACTCGCGCACCATCTCCGGACACGTCCAATTCCACCCCCATAGGAGAAAATCGAGCTTCAACCTCAACAGCACATCTTGAAATGCGCGTAGGCCGATCTGCGGCACCCTGAGTGGAGACACTCGCAGTTGGGGAACCTTCGACATTGCGTTGCCTGCACACACACAAACGTTCTCCCTTTCGCTCGCTCTCTCACAATCGCCACTGCGCGTCGGCCACTCAAGCACTGACTGCTCACTCTCTCTGCGCTCGTTCAAGATCGCTACTCCAATTCTTTCAAGGTCCGCCAAGATCCTTGCGCAACTCGTCTCCGCACTCTCTACTCTCACTGCAGGTCGCTCCGCCCTTGCGCGTAATCTTGGAACTGGAAATCGCAAAGTCAAGAATGAGAGAATGAGACTGGAGCGCAGTCTTTTCTTCTCCGATTTCAAGAACGTCCAACGTTCTTACTGGTTGCAACGTACGCAGCCGGCTATACGGCTTAACGGTTCGCCCTTTGCATGCGCGAATTCACGTCCCCGCATTGCGCGCATTCGCATGCTTAAACGTTGAATTCTCCCGCCGCCGCCACCTTCCGGACTCGAGTCCGCTGCAGGGTATACGTCGGCCCTGTTGTCTTTTCCTAACCCGCCCTTCTCCGGAGGCGTGTCGCCGCTGGTGCGTTCATTATCCGTCGGCGCCTTGCTGGAGGCGCACATCCAGCCGGAGCGAATTACGCCGGCGCGCAGTCGTACCGCCTATTTTGTCCTTTATGCCTCGTCCGTTGCTGCCAGCGCATATCCGTCAGCGCAACTCATGCCAGCGCATCCGGCCGTCAGCGCCACGTCGGAGGCGTACATCCGACCGGCGCTTTCCTTCCATGAACAGCCGCCAAGGGCGCTTCCGACTCTGAGTTGGTTTCCTCCTGTGAGCGCGTGATTCCGCCGAAGGCGCATCGCCGAGGGCGTACGGGAATCCTTTCCGGCTGTGAACCCTAGCGCGAACGGCTCATGTCCGGCTACGAGTTTTCCGACGCTCATAACTTCTCCATTCCTGATCCATCTCCGGCGCTCTTGGACTCGTTAGAACGAGCGTCCCGAGCTCTTTCTAATGCAACTTCAACCAACTGGATCTACCGTGTATCCCGATTGTTATGAAGGTTTTCCCTTTCCGCGCTAGCGGCGCTTCGCCGAAGGCGCACTCATGGTCGGATGCCTTTAGAGGTCCGGGCCCTTCCCCTGACGTCTTTAGCACAACCTCCTCCTGAGGTGTCTGCGCCGGAAGCGTAGCTTCCTTATACGCTAGAGGCGCGTGAGTAGAGATACCTCAAAAAGGAGCTTTTGCCGAAGGCGCCGAAGACGTTGGCGTTGGTACATCCGACTACGTGATTCTTTGTGCCCTCGTGACGATCTCATCAATCCACTCTATTTAGCGTACCCTTCTCTAGCTACAAACACTGCTTTGGTACTAGTTTTCTGAAATTGTTTAAATTCTGCAAAAAAAACAAAAAGTGTGTTACCACATAGTGCTAATGAAAAGACATTCCTTCTGATTGTGAATGTACATTTTGTGAACCAGTGCAACAAACGAGAAGCGTAAATATCTCTGAAAATGCAAAATCACTAATGAGCATCATGTGACCACTCAGAAACAGTTTCTAGGCTCTATATCAAACCATCATTTGTCAAAGTCACTAAAATAACTTAAACATGCACATCTTATATGAAACCTTTCAGAACTCAACAATAATTTACTTATATGATACAATGTAAACCAATATACGCAAATTTGATTAAAAAAAACGCATTTGATATGATTTCATGCTATCACTTTGACTATTTCAAGAGAAACTTATAAACAAGAATTGGATTCGAAATTCGAGTACGTGTAAGTTAATCAGATTTTTCAATTTCGACCTGTAGTTTTATAAACAGAACAGGCGTTTTTTGTCAGTTGGTCTTGTACTTAAATTGAAGAATAATAAGATTCAAAATAGTTTTCTAGCGTTGTATATTGCGATAACGGATCTTCAACATTTTGTTGAATACGTCACCGTGGAACTTATCACTTCAAATATTAAAATATTCACTTGGGTTGGACTGTGGGCTTCATGCTTAAGGTACTGAGGAAACACAGAAAGTTTATCCATAATTCTCCTCAATTATATTCTGCTATCCCAGTTTTACAACTCATGCAGATCAAATTCTTATGAAATCATCAGAATTTCAACATCGAAGACAATGAAAACTTAATCGATGTCTCTTGCATTGACAGTTCAAGACATTGCATGTTTCTTGTGATATTAGACTAAAGTTCTTCACAAGATCAATTCGCGAGGCATTGGATAGCAAAACAACATCTCTTCGATTCACATGTACAACCGAAGGTCATCCTAACTGTCAAACTAGTCTAGCACTAGTATGTTTTATAGGCAGCTTACACAGTTGCATGTGCTTCAGTCTTCAACACAACCGAAGACCTTGAAGTTACAAAAGCCTGCATCCACCACCAAGTTCTGACCAGTGATGAAATTGGAATCATTGCTGCAAAGAAACAGAGCGGCAGCTGCTATGTCTTCTCGAGTGCAGTGCTTGTCCAGTAGGGGAGACTTTTTGGTGTAGCCAGCGATGAGTTTCTCCTCTTCAACTTCTCGACCAAGAGACTGCATGTAATCAATAACCATCCCGGTGGGAACACTGTGTGGGGATATGCAGTTCACTCGGATTCCCTTTCCTCCAAGATGGAAAGCTGCGATTTTGGTGATTCCCGGAAGAGCATTTTTGTTGAGGTTGTAGATCAAGGGCAGGTCTGGCCCTGTCATGACTGCGTCCACGCTTGCGGTTGTCAAAATGGTTCCACTTTTACGGGGAATCATGGCTCTTGCAGCATGCTTGATGCCGCACAGAACGCCTCTGACCATGATCGAGGTGTATCGATCGTACTCGATGAGGTCCAAGTTTTCCAACTTATCATCCGGCGGCGTTATGACTCCCGCGTTGTTGAACATTATGTCCAGCTTGCCGAATTCTTTCAGCGCGAATGCGACGGTGGATTGAATTTCCGCTTCAAGAGTGACATCTGTTCTTTTGTACAGCACGCTGGGCCCCAACTGCAAAGCTGCTGCTCGACCGTGCTCCTCATTCACATCTGCAATTATAACCTTTGCGCCATGCTCATTAAACAGCTTACAAGTCGCCAATCCGATTCCTCTAGCTCCTCCTGTGATTATGGCTACCTTGTCCACCAATCTGTACAAATGTACAAATGTGCTTGTGAGTAGTCATAGAGCAGCTATCCAAGATTGCATGGTGATTGGAAAAATTCACAGTAGTCAAATATAGTTTCATAAAATAGACATAAGTCTTGACATACTCATGGAATGCTGAAGTCCATACAATTACATGTCTTTTAATATTATTGTTGTGAAATCATTTTACTTCGATAAAACAATGATTTTTTTAAAAATTTATATCATATTTCCTTGATTGTTCAATCTACTTCTTTTCTTTTCTACGTTGGAATTACCTTTCAATGTGTGACATCACTCACCTCTATTGAGACTAGTCCAACACGAATTCCTTAATATATATATACATATATATCTACATAATGTATCTTATATTTCAAATCCAAAATCTACATCGGGTTGTATTCATATCTATTAATGCTTCCAAAATAGCTTCAACCTAAAAATAAAATAAATTCTTACTTGCTATATGGACATAAACAAAAATCCTTTCAATGACACGTCTACATCATGCCATCAAAGCTCCACAAAGGCAGGAATTTAAGTCCTCTCTTCAAGTTGTTATTTACCTGATAGGCTCAAATAATATACCAGAGAAGAAGCTGTGAACTTTCTCTCCTGTGTGGATGTATGATGACATAATGAAGATAGGATCCAGTCAAAGAGTTTACATCAACATAATGGATATTACCAAATACCAGGGAGAAAAAGGACATGGAAAAAGTAGGAAAGTGACATATATTAAAAAACTTCTGAAGACGGAAAAATTCACATTCACAAAATCAAAATGAGTTGCACAGAATGATCACATGAAGGTCCGAGAGTGACTACAGTCTGGCATCTTGATTTACGGCTTTGGCGGACAAATATGCTAAGGGATGATAAATGAAAAATAAAATGATGTGCAAATACCAACTAGCCGGGTTTCATAATTAAAATTTAAAAGCTTTACTTTCTATCTGAGATTTTGCTCCTGGCTGAAGACAAATGTCGACTCTCAGTTGCATCCGCTGCAAACTTTTGCGCTCGTTGTTTATATAACTGACGGATCCTGCACAATTGCACGTGCATTTGCATGAAATGTTAAGAATAATTTTGTCAAAATGTGAGTTGCATAGAGCGAAACGATTTTCCGGTAGTTCACGTCCAGGATTACATTTTGCATGTGTGAGTTATGCGTACTCTCTAGCTTTAGCTCTCACTATATACTGTTGCTAAAAAGATTATTAAAAACCACACAGAAATGAGAAAAGAAGGAGTAGTAACATTATAATTCAGCATGGAATGGAAGTTATCATTTCCATTTCAATTCAAAAGCTAGTGTATATATCATACCTCATCATTTTTCCGTAAGTTCCAAAATTTTAGATTGGAACTCCGGGATTTGATTATTCGTCCCCAAGCTTGATACAGAAAAGAATCGAAGATATGAAGTTAGACAAGTATTATACTCTTGAGTATATAATAGTTACTTTTATATACTCATACGGGTAGCCGTGAGACGGCCTAATGGAATCGACAGATTGCTGCCGAGTATGTACCAAAAATCATGTAAAGATCTCATCAAGTCAATCATGGAAGAAACAGAACCGCAACCTGTGCTGAATCCCATAGTATCATGATGAGAAATATATCCTACAACAACTAGACTACTACACCAGATACTTGAATCACTTTCCACCCACTATAATCGCAATGCAAAATCAAAATTGATCAGGAAATGATTTTATATCAAATTAAACTGCATTGTTGATACCTGGATGAAATGAAACAGCTGAATGTATACAAATAACTGATGCGCTGACTTCTCTTGAAGTACTGGCAATCTTGGTGCTGTACAAATTGCAATTCGTGTACCGTGTAGAGAATGTGAGAGAGCTCAAAAATCAGAATTCTCTATTTTGAGAGTGAATTTGATGCACTTTGAGACTTCTGCACTTAAATTTATACATATCACTAGTGCCAGTGCCAGATTTTTCTCCAGCCTAGTGCATGGTTATTTGATCGGACGATGAAAGAGGTTTAGATAGAAGTAGATTGAACTAAAGAGTTTCTAGACTGACAACAATCAGTAACGTAAGTTAGTAGAAGTCTTGCAAAACATGGTCACTCTATCCAGCTTCTATTGATTATATTGCTGTGAAAACTAGACAATAAGGTTAAATAATTTTAACATCTCTATCAAATAAGCATATGGGCATCTCTATCACTGTGCTGCATTCTATCTGGGTTGCATTTCCAGAACTGTTCAAACAAAGATGTAAGGTAGTGGAAGCCTTGCAAAACATGATCACTCTTTCCGGCTTCTATTAGTTATATTGCTGTGAAAACTGGACAAGGAGGTTGGAAAAATTTTAACATCTCTATCAAATAAGCATATGGACATCTCTATTATTGTGCTGCATTCAATCTGAGTTGCATTTTCAGAACTGTTCAAACAGAGATGTAAGGTAGTGGAAGTCTTGCGAAACATGAACACTCTATCCAGCTTCTATTAGTTATATTTGTGTAAAAACTAGACAAAAAATTTCAAGAATTTTTAACTTCTACATGAAATAAGCATATGGGCATCTCCATCATTGTGTTGCATTCAATCTGGATTGCATTTTCAGAACTGTTCAAACAAAGATGTAAGGTAGTGGAAGTCTTGCGAAACATGATCACTCTATTGAGCTTCTATTAGTTATATTTCTGTGAAACTAGACAAAGAGGTTGAAGAAATTTTAACATCTCGGCCTAAACAAATTTTCTTACCTACATTTGAATATTTTTGACAAACATTGATTTGACTTAAATTTAATCCATTTTTTAATGGAAAATTTAACATAGAAAATTTTGAATTGCCTGATAATGAGTGGTCAGTTCATGAGATATGGTTTAACATATTATACTCTCCACTTGAATCTTTATTATAATTTTAGTGTGATTGGAATTCAAAACGTTAAGTTTTCTAAACATCTGGAGGATAAAATGTGTGTGTGTGCTTGCGTACAAGTTTTCTACTCATTTCTATTGGATTATATTATATACCCAATCTTATAGACACTCCTTTTCTTCTCAATTTGTTTTGTGTTTTCATGTTCTGTATACTTCAAGTTGCAAGTATATTAATTTAAATGTATCAGGTTTTTGAATCATACAGCATAAGAGGCCAATCACATCAGGTACAACGGATTTCACTTTGAAAACTTTTAAGCAGTGATTTTCGTAACTCGTTTTCATTAGGGAACAATTTAATATTCTAACAAATAAATTACTGATTTACTCCTCGTTTCTTGAGTCTGCAGTCTCTGCTGCATCATCAAACAATAGGCTGCTGGAAGCATACACCAGCACTGCTTGAAGGAAGCTGAAGGCCATTGGATATCCCGCTGACTTTCATTCAATAACTTCAGCTCATTGAGAGTGCTCTAAAATCTTGAATCAGAACTTGCAATGCAGTACCCAGCGAGACGATGCATGTGGAATCCTGCATTGCGCCAATGTCATGAATCCGTTGACAGCAAATTCCCCTAATGCCACAACATTTTTCCATGAAAAGTATGTGGTCTTCATGTATGAGGCCGAAAGGAATCAGACATTACATTCTCGTAACATCGGTCGCTCATCCTGTGACAAACCCAAGCGTAGGACTTCATGCAGAATTTATTCACAGGAATACAGGGTATTTTTCAAGCGACCTAAAAAAGTCTGAAATCTAAGTGACTGCTTAAACTCATCGTGTAAGTTATCCAGTAGGTACCGTCTTCCATACTGCAATGCAATGTTCATATCGAAATTTAGAGCACACTGCAAATGTAACTTCGAAGCGTCCGTTACCGTTTGACTTAGTTTTATGATAGTAATCAATACTTCTCTTCAAGAAAGGTAAGGACAGATAGCTCCCACTCATCGCGGTCATGACTCGCCTGAACAACATGGAAACTGTGGCAGTGCAAATCATTGTTAAGGTGCTTTCCATGTTCCACAGCAGTGCACTCAGAGGGCGTACTACGGCGTCACTTTAGTGTTCCCATATTTGCGCGTACTGCCATTTAAGGGCTTCACCAGAAAGCAGTAGATAAATTGCAAAAAATTATAGTAACGAAACGAAAATAGTGAAATTATAGTGTAAATGCCAAAAATGCCAGAATCAAGGAGAAAACTTTGCCAGATTTACCTTAGTTATTGCAAACCAAGCATTTTCCAGATTTTATAGGCCTGCTTTAGCATAAGAGCAGTAGCAAGAGCCATGTTTAAAGCTCTGGAGGGAGCTATGAACGAAATGGTGACTGACATAAAAGCAGAAGAAACCAAATCTAAGGTTTGTGCTCAATATTGTTCTATAGATTGTAATAATCTCTAATAGTTCTAAATACAAACACATAGCAAGATGTTTTAACCTCATGAAGCTCTCCATTACCCACCATGTCATGGTTGGAAGTCAAACTCCTTTGTATTGTGTGAAATTTGTGTAAACAGAATGAGCAAATAAGCTATAGTTACTTTTGAATCTTTATAGGTCCTCATGAGCGATGAGCGTCTACGTCTTAAGTCTCCATGCTGTTGTGAAGTAAACTCAACCCGAGGACCTTTAAATACTTCTGATTATCCCAGCAAGGATTACAGTTCAAGTTACCAATGAGATTATGTCAATATATCTTCCCATCCCAGTTCACACATCCATATACGATAGAGATAGGAGGCTTTCCTATGTGAGGTTTTTAATGTGGAGTACGAGATTATTATCATTACCATTGCGAGATTACGAGCAATGTCTTTCCTATAGAACTATGAAAGCCATCATTTAGAAACGATGGTGCTCCTCCATTTTTTCAAAGTTTCCATCATTTTTTCTTGTGAAACGTCGAATTTATAATATTTCACTTGAACTCACTCTCTAATATCTTTCATGTTATCGTTTATCTATCACACCTCCACGTGTGTCTATTCTTTCAATGCTTCATAATGAATGGAAAGTGTACATAAGTAACTAACGAAGACAATGTGGACATATGGATGACTTCGAAAGTTGAAAACTCATATACCCATACACCGACCAGAACTTCAAAGTAAATTGAACACATTTTTCAAAAAAGAAAAACAGACAACACCATAGCTGCAGCAACACCATTTTTTTTCACTTTCATGCCTAAAATGAATGCATGAATATGTGTACTTAAAGAGCTACTTATTGATAATTCTATCAAAATTATTCAAGTAATCATAGGAACGCATTTCATTTCATGACCAAATTATTACTTGTTTCACATTTTCATCTGGATATGAGATTTTACAACTTTTACAAGTATTAAT